AGAGCGCAATCCAATGACTTTATATCTCCATCATATGCAGCATTGAAAAGACCGATCTCCTGTGTATACATGGGTACCAGTGATGGCACAGAGTGTAAAAATTTCACTTACATTTAAATGAAGAATGATAACCTCCTCTCCATTCACAAGCATATTTCTAATACCCTCCTGTGCCATTGCATTGTAATAAGACAGGAAAATGAACCACCGACAAATAGTATAGTAGTGCCAGTGAAGAGTGAGAGGATTGAGGGTGTGGCCATCATACACCATATCACCAGTGGGGATACGGAGTATGGAGCTGGTGAGGCTGTGTATGGTGTTGTACTGTGCTCTTGTGAGGGTAGAACCCTCCAATTGAAGAGTGACGAGGTGGCTATCTGGAGGAAGAGGAGAGGACTGGGTACTAGACTCTCCAGAGATCATGACTTCATCTTCCTCTTGTTGGTGGGAGACTGCCTCACCCTTCAGGACACTCTGGAACTCTGAGAATGAAGGACCTTAACTGGTGTATGTATAATGTTTTAGGAACTCACTGTTACGGAGTCTCTCTGAAACATGTAACTGTCCTGCATTAGCCAAAGCCATACAGAATGTTGGGAACATCCCAACAACTTTATTCTTAGCCTCTCGGAGTGCCTCTACAATTATATGTACTTTCTCTAGTCGACTGCTCTTCGCCCAAACTTCTTCTCCTTGTGGCTGTGTCAGCAGCCTTCGTTGCACCAGGTGTGGAACTACTTCATCTGGCGACATCTCCTCCAACAGGTAGCTGTAATTGGTATCAATAGCCTGAAGCCCTAGTCGAATGAACCTTGTACTCCAGACTGCATGGCGACGAGAGGTAAAGTAAAGCAACAAAACACAGATAGGAGGTAGATAGAAATACAAAGAGAAAGGATGAGGGGAAGGAGAGCCAAGGAGGAAAACGACGGGTCGACCAACGACCGAAAGCATCGTCAGCGAGATCACGCGCGACCCATGCGCGACTGAGGCGATCAAAGCGAGCGACGACAGACGCACGTCACACAGAGTAGCATGAAAGAATAAACCTGAGAAAGATCGGAAAAGCGCGTAGAGCAGAGTCGAGGATGAGGTCCGGACTGGGCCAACACCGGGCAGGCATAGTAATGAACAAAAGAGGAGAAAGGGAGGTGAAAAAGCAGCGAGACGTCACTAGGTTGGGAAAGGGAGCTCACTATAAAAGAAAAACAGCACTACCGAAAGAGGAGTCGGAGCTGATGAATCCATCAATGGTGAGAGTGGTGACGTGGTGCTCCATCATGCTCTGACTGCTGGGCTTGACAGAGTTCTGGATGTGAGGTCACCAGAGAACGAGAACCCGCCATGTCACCTCACACACACCCTCGAGCCACTTTCACGAGGTTGAGGGAGAAGAAGTCATACAAGGACAGCTCCCGCCAGACTGAATGCGAAACTTCTCAACATCTCCAGTGTGTGAGCGGTTCTCCAGTCCATGTCGTCTTGCTAACCATCGTGGGAACCTGCCGTTGATATCTTCTGGCTCATCAGCGCAAATGTCCGAAAATACTTCAAGCCTTGTTTCTTTCCTAAATGCTTTCAACTTATTCTCATACTTTTTCATCATTTGCTTCAGATCGTCGCTGCCGTAGAGATCAATGACATACTTTAACAGAGTGTAGTGGAGATAGTCATAGTGTTCGCCAATAACATCAATTATATCCTCAGCTGATTCAGCTTGTGTATTTCGACTTTCGCTTAGTACAAACCTTTATGCTCCTTTTGAGATTTTAGATGGACAGACAGAGGAGGGAGGAGTAGCGCAACTTTTAACTGCAACACTATGCTAATCTTCAGCAGCGCAAACGAGATATCGAGTATTCTTTCTGCAACTGATCAATCTTTTCTCTCGTCTCGGTGATTTCTTTATCTAGTATTATGAAATATTAATTCTTAGGCTAGAACGAAAAATTGGAAACCTGGCACCGGTAGGATTGGTCGAGTTAAGCCTGTGCTAAAATATATAAGCGCATGCTTTAAAATTACTTCTTCACTCTTCAGATGATGAAACATGGTACGCATCGCATTTCATGATGCCAACAGCCTTATTCTCTATGATTAATTTTTATGGGCTTGCCCCTTCACAGACATACTACGTAGTACGTATATAAAAAATGAGTGGAGACAAGTAAATTATTAAAATCTGCGAATTAGAGGCATATAGGGATGGTATAAAAAGAAAGGGAGACAAGATAGGGATTGGATACACGAAGCATGGTTAATGAACAGATTTGAGTACGCTGACACCCCCAACCCCATCACACAATCCCTATATTGTTGTCTGGTGTGCTACTCTTATAGGGGCTAAAGGTTGCCAAAAGCAAGCATTCTTTCACCGTGTCCCTGTTGTTTTTAGTAACATTTATACTGCCACATTCCCTTTAATTAAACTCCACTTGGACTCTATAAGGGTGTTGGTTACTCAGTAGTGCATTGTAAGTTCTGACTATTGTAATGGTGAATGTTTAACACTTCACCTAGGCAACAATATAGGGATGGTGTGATGGGGTTGGGGGTGTCAGCGTACTCAAATCTGTTCATTAACCATGCTTCGTGTATCCAATCCCTATCTTGTCTCCCTTTCTTTTTATACCATCCCTATATGCCTTCTTTTTTTTTATTCGCAGGATTTTTAATTTACTTGTACATTTTATGCCGGACTCCTTGCTGGGAAGTGGTCTCGCCTATTCCAGAGTTGACCTCGGGTCGGAAGATTAAAGGGACCGAAACCTGTTGTCATACAATGACGGAAATAGGTACTTCCCTGATGACCGGGCAAATGCATACCACACACATAATGACACTCCTGTGCACATGGGTTGCGGGTGTAGTAAGACCGCAGGGTTGTTGCCCAGGCGATGCAAACAAAAGCCCTCCCAGCCCTGTTTCTCTCTCCCCCCCTTCTTCCTTATCTCTCTCTTCATAAATCACACACACACACACACACCATTTTTACACGAGTATCACTAGAAATGCACTAAAGTGCAAATCCTCGGCGAACTGCGCATGCGCGGTACCGCTAATTGTATTAGTATGCGTGGTCTCCCACAAGTAGCTTGCAGAGAGTCTGACACGGGCTAGCTACAGTAGTAGATAGCATGCAAGAGTCGATACACGCCATTCGTTGTGACTTGTTGTACCTTCAAGATAAGCGGACCCGGTCGAGGTAAGCTAGCCTGTGCTAAATATAAGTGCATGCGCATTTTCCGCAGCGATAAAATGGCATTAGCCGTATATACAATGCTGGGAGCGCTCTAGCTTTGCAACGAAGCATTTTCAGAGAAAACCGCACAAATTTTCTGACCTTCATTGCCCGTTAAGTAGGTAGCATCGTTTGTGAGACGAAAAAACATTCGATAAGTGAGATGTTGAGTAACAGACAGACAGACAGACAAACCCAACTACTGTACCCTCGCTGCGCATGCGTGCCGAGGGTTAAATATAATATCACCAGGACCCTAGAGTAACAAACTCATTTCCCTATTAGGAAATTCCATAACCATGACATCACAACTCCCTATAAATACCCCACTGTGCGCTAGTGGATTGCAAGTCCCCCAGAGCCTAAGGTATGTGATTGTAACTAACTTCAATACAGTACTGTAAGCTGTAGCTAGATTTTACACGAGAGTCTGTGGCATTGGATGTGTGGGGAGAGTTGGGTAGCCATAAAAGATGTTTAACCCACCGTCCCCAGTTCTCAAGGCTTGGCATCCATGTCGTGCTCTTGCGTTTGTATGAGTGAGACTGTGTAATTATGTATAGGTTAGAACCTCTCATGAATAATTCCCTTTGATGTTGGGTGTAGTAATCAAGAAGTGTCTAAAACCCATAGTACTGGGTCTGCCAGGTATAAGTACTAAGTCTCTAAGTTGCAAGTTAGATCACTGTGAAATAATCGAGGAGTGGGAAGGCCCATTTGCTCCTAGCTTCGAGACTGCCGCCGAGCAGGACGAGCTGTAGACCAATGTCACGGGAAAGCCACTACAGTGGGTCCCACTTAATATCATACCGTTTAATAGAATATCCCCTTTATTATCATACAAAACCTGAAATCCAACACCATTCCTATGTTTTCCCATACATTTTACTCCGTTTTATAGAATACGGATAATGTCATATCCCGCCTATTACCATAGAAAAATTGGCCTACTACACCCCTAACTCCACTCCCAACCTCAGAGAGCTTCACGACCTAGAAAGATAACCCCCTTCGTAGTCACCATATGGTTTAACTGTAGCCCTGGTTCTTAATAATTTCTATGTCAACGTCTAATTACTGTAATTGGAAACACAGACAGACCCAACTACAGTACCCAGCTGCACATGCGCGCCGAGGGTAATAAATGTGAGCCAACCAACACTACCATAACTCACCTGTTTCAGCCAAAGCCTCTCTTTCTCTATTACCAATTCTTTGTCTCAGCTCTCCACCTGTTGAAATAGATGAAATAAATAGGAGCAATGACGTGCATTTTATCCATCCTTACCTGCAGAAGATGACACAGAATGTTCGCCTGACGATGTAGGTGTGGGAACAAGTGGAGGTGCAGGAGGTGATGAAACATCTGTACGAGGTATGGCTTGGTCAATGGCTAGGCACCGCAATGATTGGTTTCTTAGCTATACCTAATGACAAAGGATGTTGCTCGCTTATTTGCTTACCAGATAAATTTTTAAATGCATGCCACAAGCAGGGAAAAACATTAAACACCACACATATTATATTGCATAACTTGTGCAAAAGATACTCATCATCACCCTATCTATAGCCCTTCCTGGTAGGCGAATGCAGGGAATTCTTGGCGAGCGAGAGCGTTTTGCCAATGGTTTGATCAGGTTAGCTCGCTCCTGCTCGTTTTACTTTCAGTAAAAACACACGGTAAATCTGTCTTGTCTCTACCAGAGGAGCCATTAGAAACTCCACGGTAAACACGTTCAATATTGTCACTACTGCACGTACGGTCGGAGGAATTGGCGCGACGGTTCTCCAGCATACGCCTCAGGTCGTCAGCCAACCTCATGTTCTGGGCATTCTCTGCTGCTTGGATCAAGACCCGGAAGGTGGCGCGGTTGCTGTGCAACCTCTTCCACTCTCCCAGAAGTGCTTTCTTCTGTTCTCGGTAACCGCCGGGCGTCCTTCGTATATTCTCATCGGTTACGATTTTTAGTTGCAGAAACGGAGATATTTCCCCCCACTTTATTAGATACTCCTGTGCTATTATCGCTATTTCTCTTTCAGTCACTACACTGTCTGACAAGGCTTCCGCCATTGGCGCCTGCTCTGTATCTTCAGTGGGCGTATATACTAGGGGCGGGAAAGCAGGGGCGAGGTCCGGGGAAAGCCGGCATGCCGCGGATGGTGTTCATTAGCCGATTCACGCGTAGCGTACGCACACACGTCATAAAACGTCGTTGACGTATGCGCGCGCCGCTATTTTCCGTAGCAACGTGGCCCTGACAACCGCAACCCGTGGGCGTTTTGGCTACGCTAGCGTGCATAGAAAACGTTGCAGAACGCTAAACGCAACGGTATCGGATAGCTGGTGCATGGGGCTACGCAACGGTATGCTATTTGTTGGCGGTTGACCCGCGCGACCTTTTTCGTGGGCGCGGCAAGAGAACGCGCGTTCTCACTGGACTCCACGAGCGGTTTTGATGGTGTTGGAGGGTTATAAACCGCTCTGTGGAGATACTAGGTTTTACAGCTATACAAGAAGGAATGAAAAAAATCTTGCAAGGTTTGTTAACAACGTTTTTTGAAGCGCTACAGCCTGTTGAACATGTATTATTATCATGGCCAGCGTGTTTCCCCGTGTCTGTATGTATATATATATATATACGTAGGAGCGATTCTTGTGGCAGAAGCAGGGCAAAACTGCCTTGTAAGAAGCTCTTGCAAGTGCAGTGGCACCAGTATCACCTGCAAATGAAGGTAAGGATGGTCAGCAAGTTTTGTGAGGCTAGAGGGGGATACACCATATTTCGGCGCCACAACTATAGCACCACACCACAGGGGGCAAGAAGATTCCCTTGCTTTTCTCATGAAGACATAGTGGCAAGTTTAATAATATTGCATGTATGGGTCAGAGTGTTTTAGGAGGATGATTTCTCTTCTGTCGTTTCATGACAGGGTGCTCCAGTGCAACATTCTCTGGGCACACTTGTCGGAAGTGATCAGCAACCATGGCACGCAATCTCTCTACACCATTTGCCATGTTGCAGTAAGTGCGCTCGAGCTGGTTGAAACGGACATGAATTCCCTCTGCACCCTGCTCTCCGAGCATTCCAAGACCCACTTTCCATTGCTGCAGGAAAGGCACAACATTTCGACTATTTCTGAACAGTCACACCTGTCACACTTCAGCAGCATTGACCCAGAGAAGCTTGAGTGTTACCTCAGATACAGGTGGAAATTGAGAGGCGTCGGCGATTTCATGATGCGACTTGCAGCAAGGGCAGTGTAGAGAACGTTCTTTTGACTTTCGAATGCCATCACCCACACACCTCGCACAAGCTATCTTTCTGCATGGCATTACAACTGGACTGTCGGCAATGCAATCACAGAAAGAGCACTGCATATCTTCAGGAGATACACTAGGAGGAGGAAGGAATCGTGATGGTTGGAGTGGCTCTGGTGTATTCCAACTAGGTGGAGCCTGACTTTCAACTGTGTCGGCAAGTGAGCGGTTGCTGCTTGTGCTAGGCCTACCACGATTCTTCTGTGTTCGCTTTGGCCGGCCTCCTCTTTTCTGACTCCGAAAGAAGTCGCAGGTTGAGCATTGAACACTATCTACAGTGGGATGTTCTGTCCACTCATGTACTTCTAGTGTGCTGTCTACCCATCCTTTCTTTTGTCGCTGTGCCTTGGCGTAGCATGTGTTGTAGAACGTGGCAGGATGGACAGCTGGATTTTCTTGCCCAACGTCAATGCCAAAGACTTTCAGCACATCAGGATTTGCAGAGCAGGAATACTTGTACTCATTTCGTGCAAATGGTTTAGCACATACTCTACAATGACGTTTGAGTTGATCCTCGTGAACCTTTGACGGTTGCTCAGCATGCTCAACCATAATTATGCACTTTTAGTGACCCTTGGAACCTGGTTTTAAAAATTGTTAATAGATTCTAATGCACCTTACTGGTTAGAACAATTGTTAAGGAGTGTGAATAACCTTCAGCAAAGCTCCAGAAAACTTTCGGGCACTTGTGGGGATACTTTACTCCACAGCGGTTTAGGCCAGCTGTCCGCGGGAACCGTTGCTAGGCAGTTTGTTAGGCATGCGCTTAATTTCCACCGCGTTTTAGGAAGTGCGCTTTAGCGCTGTTTTGAGTGTTAGCTATTTCCCCTTGAAGCCGTATGTCTGAATTCCACACAGTGTGTAAGCTAACACCATAGCAACCATAACGGTGGCGTAACCGCAAACGCGCTATCATTTCAGAGGGCTGTGTCGCGCGCATTGCGCGTTTGCGCAAAGATTAACCAAATGCACGCGCGGAACACCGCCGCAGCAGGGCGAGGTCCGCGTGCGGAAACCGCGCGCTTGTCCGCGGACGCTTAGTGATGATAAAAATTGCTAGCGGAGACGACAAATACAGCAAAAGACTGCAAAAAATTTCTAACATAAAATCATGAATTCTTGCAGGAGCTGGAGATGACAGAAATAAGTCTGATAGTTTTCCTGCAATTGCTGCCATTTCCCTGGATTTCACCTGCCATAGAGTGGAGGAAAAACCAGTGAAAAAACCAAACGTACATGTAGCAGTAGATTATAATACCTGTAAGGAAGTTGCTACTTCAGCTGGAAAACGGAAAACTTTTCTGCCTTTGCATCTGCAGCAAATCGAGCTCATCATTTCTACCATGCTTCTGACAGATCCAGTGTTTGTAGTTTTCAACAGACAGCTTTCCTCTGGTGTATTGATCTCAAATGAAACAATTGAGTGGTCATAGGTGCATGCCTGTATTTGAAACGGTCTATTGTTGCCAGTGGAAAGAGATTCGGTGATGTTATGTGGAAGAAGCGCATCAAAAACATCTCTGCAACTGTGAGCAGCCAAGACAGAGTCTGAGGACACCTCTGCTCTTTGATTTGGGTTTGGGAGAACCATTTCAAAGGAATGACCCTGTTTGAAGCAAACGTGCGGTGTACGAGCTTAGGTGAACATGGTTGGGTGAAGTCAAGAGCATCAAAGACAGCATAAGCCAGTGGGGACACAACTCCGCTTGCCTCTAACAGACGGGAAGGATTGATTTTCTGGGGTGTATAAAGACTAAGTTGGGTTAGTATCGAATGGAGGTGAGTTGGGCTATAACAAACAGCGACATCGACAGAAAAGGTAGCTGGCATTCCAGTTTCTAGATCCAACTTGACTCTGTGTTTTAGGATGTCATTGGGTGCCAAACCAGCCAATGATAGAGTAGTAAACCTGCTCTGATTACTAGAGGTACACTGGGTAGTTATCAAGAGTGCCCACCCTCTCTGTAGCCTGTCCAGGCCAGTATAGCCGAGTTCCACCTCACCACCCAGTGCTAAGTGGCAGACGCTACCCTATCTGTCACTGGAGACACAGTGCAAGAGAAGACTCGACCATCGGAAGACTGGACTGAGTGCAGTACTGACAGAGCCTGATTTAACTCCATCAGTGCAGAGTCGACAAGTTTCAGTTGACTTTGAGCCGTGAGATTTCTTTGGCCAGTCTTATTGATGGAGTCCATGCTCTTCCTCATCTCTCTACCAATGTCTAGTCTTTTCACCTTCACCGTGTCTTTGCATGACTCAAGCTGAAACCTAAGCAGCTTGCCGTCAATACTGATGGCTGTAGCACTGTAAGCCTCATTGGGAGATGGCGGGGAGGCCCCTGTGATAAATGACATACATGTTGCAGAAACAGGACATGGAGAATTGAACTGTGACCTAGGGACCATAACAGAAGTAGTAGAACTGGCATCTAAATCCACTGACTTTAAAAGGAAAGAAGGCTCAAGGCAAATGCGGTATATTCCACTCGTGTTACTGTAGACAAAGCTATGCCGTTCCACAAGGAAAGAGGAGAGAATTGGTCCGGTAACACTGAACTCGGCCACCAAAGGAGCCTCTCTCCCTTTCTCTGCCTCAGTCAAAAGCACCAACTTCTCTAACCTCCCGACAACAAGCAAGGAATTGGCTGATGAGTCAGGATGCGTAGGCAAACACAGGGGGTGAATGGCAACTACAGGTTGGCCCAGGTTACACAAGGTATTATTGGATAAAGAGGCACCTGATTCACCAGAAGAAGGGGTGCAATAACCACGTGTGTCGAGAAATAAAACTGCACCACTTTTGGTCCCAACGACGGCGAAAATTGACCGAGCTAGAGACAACTCGAAACCAAAAAGCTGACGGAAGAAAACGTCCGAGGCAGACGAGGCAATACTCAATGTTGAACTGTCACTCTTCACAGAAGACTGGGAGCGGAGAAGAGATAAAACAGGCCTGTAGGCTATAGTTGTAGATAAGAGCCCCTTAGAAGGCACACTGCAAGACCCTATCTCATGTTGAAAGAGTACGCCATTGGAAAACACTGGAAGCTTATGTTCACCAAACAGGGTAACGGAAGAAGACTGATAGACATTGAGAACAGAGCAATGCTCCTTCCTTGCAGAGATGATGAGCTTGTCATGACAGACAAAGGCAGAACAGATGCTCCACTGACAAACAGGGAAAAGGAATAAACTAACTGAGACATCGCGCCCATCAACAGCTTGTGCTGGAGCTGATATGTTGTCACAAGTCTCTCCAAACAGGGACGAGAGAATATCAGCACTTTGAGCTTCTGTTGGAACCCTGGAAATCGCACTGTAAAGATGAGGTACATACAGATGAAACATTCGCAAGAAATTTGCAGCAGTTGTATACGTAGCTTACAGTTTTAGGGAAAGGGCAGAAATGTGCCCATTGCTGAGGCAGCAGAGTGCTAGCGGCTGCTGGGACCCTGAACAAAGTAGGGGGCTCACATGAAGCACAGCAGCAGTGTCATAAAACTTCACTGAGACCTGAGGTGCAGTTAGGGCAGTTATCAACAAGTCGGCTGCATTGTAAAAGGAGACTTTACCACTTTCTCAAAGGATGATCCATTGGCAAGAACTGAGACTGGGCCGTCATAAGTTTCAGCTTCAAAGCAGGAGGGAATCATTTTGCACACTTCAACCTGCATCGATCATGCATCATGATCCAACATAGCGCGCCTATAAAATAAGCGCACTTAGTGCTACCGTATATACCATATAGATATTTACCTCAATTGAGCGAAAGACGCGCGAGGAATACTGAACTACAAAACGTGTGTCGGACGAGACTGTGCTCGGGGGATAAGACAAGCAAAGGAAGTGACGGAGTCTCTCCACTCGTTTGTAAGCCAGCGACAGCAAGGTCTTCTCCCACGTAACATCTTCTCTAGAGCCGTCAGAGGTATATACAATAGCTGCACAACCTTCCTGCTCAGCAGTGGAGCAGTGGTGAACGTACACCCTTTGTTCTGCAGATTCCTTGTATCTGGTGAAGAGACTGACAAATACTAGAGTACTGGAGGGACATAACGGATGTGTGAGTTTAGTGGCATATCTGTAGAGAATTTTCCAGAACATTCATACACAAGACAAACATTTCTACAAAATTTTTTTGCAGTGCGGGTATGTGAGCTGTCGGTTCGCTATAGTGGTGATCTGTAGAGAGCATTCAATAGTATTACTCACAGAACGTTCCTACGAAGGTGTTATTGTTAATTGCAACACATTAGCACACGTGGTATGATGTATGTGAGCTGTAATGTAGCTGTTTTGTCTGTGTTCCAGGTTAACTCTGTGTCCTGGAATGAGACTGGGACCAGGCTGATATCAGGATCTGATGACTGCCACATCAATATCTATGACATGGCCACTGGACTGGTACATACAGTCTGTCATCTTACACCCTAAAGCATGTGTAGGGATGCGTAGCCCTTGGTCACATGAATCAACCCACGGTGGACATGATTATACCACTTGCTTTGTGCATGTAGTACCTCTCTAGCTCTTCATCATTTGTTTCTGCACAAAAGTAAAGTAAATAGGATTTTTGATGTAAGGTTAACAATTTTAACGTTTCATCTTACAGTTACTCCTTGTAATTACTGCTGTTCCTCTCCCTGCTTAATGTATGTTTACCTTATCCACAAAGATGTGTATATGCCAGTTCCTTTCGTACTGAGGGTTTTGCAGTTCAGTGCTTTCAGGTGTAGAATGCCAAACACTGACCACTTTGTGTGCCATGGTTTTGCTGTGTAGACGGTCACTCATTGCACACACGTCACCAATCCACATCTTCAGTGTCAAGTTCCTCCCGACAGACTGTGAGGTCAGCAGGTTTAGCTGCATTACTGACGAGCAATTGATCGCTGCTCCTAAACAAAACTTTAGCTCACATTTCGATTTTGTCGCTGATGATAAGAACTCATTGGGGACCATCAATTTCAGGTTTTCAGTAGCTTGATGGAGATAATGTATGTAACGATATAGACGATACACATTTTCTGGCTGGCAAACAAAAGTTCAGCAGTATGTGTGCCTATATTTACCGTAACACAGTATACTACCTGAAAAGTGATCATGCATAATAAGAAAAATCGTGCATTCATATGACTCTGTGGGTACTGCTTCTATGCCTTTTAAAGTCGTTCATGTTAGAAGAGACTGGTCTGCTACAATAAAATGTGTGTGTGTGTGACTCTCTTTGAACAAAGTTTCTGCTGTTGAAGACATCGTCAGCTGTATGACGTCTGTGCAGGCAGTGTCGTGTGCCGGGATTAGGTTCACGTGGAGGTGTCAGAGCTGAGTCGTACGGAGACTATGTGGCCTCACCAGTTCAAGTGCCAGTCCTCCATCACCTACGTGAGCGGCCATGAAGGTCAGAGTATCATGTACTGGTTCA